CACACACACACACACACACACACACTCTAAATAAATGTAAAAAAATAAAAAAATAATACATTAGTAACATATGGTAACTGGAGACCTAGAGCTGCATAAAGTTGGGGCCAGATGTGGACATATGTTCCTTGTCAATGTCTCTGACACTCCAAGTATGTTTAAGGCTGCATAGAAACTCTGGCATGTATAGATTTAAAAAGGAAAGAGGCTGAACTGGCTTTGCTTCTGACTAGTTGTATGATGAACACATTTTAATTTTTAAAACTCAGCTTTTACATCTAACACCATTACCTATTTTTCATTTTTTATTTCAATTAAGAAGTAAATCACAGCTAGCCCAGCTAATGCCTTATACAGGGAAGTTACTCAATGCTAGTCTCATACCCATATCTTGCTTGAGTTACCACTACTACTGCAATTACCACTGCAGTAAGTCCCAATGGCTATACTTTGAAAACTGTCTCAATTTGGTAGAAATATCATAGGTTTAAAGATCAACAACTGTTTTTTTTTTTTTTTTTTTTTTTTCTTGAGACAGGCTCTTACTATGTAGTTCCGCCTGGCCTTGAACTCACTATGTAGCCCAGATAGGCCTGGAACTCATGGCAATTCCCCTGCTTCAGCCTTCTGAGTGCTCAGATTACACATGTGACCAGAACACTCAACTAACAGCTGAATTCTTCAGTGTGATTAGGAGCTGAATTTTCCTATTCTTTTCACGTTCCTTTATCAATAATATAACATTCCCCAAAATAATTTAGTTGCACTCGTCTCAATCATGGAGGGTCACTCTCTTTAACATACTTCCTGAGAGTTTACCACTCACATGTAAACTGTGTAAGACAATTACAGTAGGAGAGGAAAAAAATGTGTACTTTTGTACCTTTTACTTATTATTCTGCTTTCACAAACTGTCAGGGCCAATGGAACCAAAATGACATACTGCTGTGTTGTGGTTTGGGGTTTTTGCAAGCAATACAATACAATACAATACAATACAATACAGGACACATTTTATAAGATTATTTTGTAATCACCCAAAGAATTATATACCAAGAGTGCAAGAAATCTGTCCATACACTAAAGACCCAAGAATCTAGATGAGGGTCTGGATCCTTCATGAGTCCAGGTGAAAACCTAGCACACATAACAATGCTTTCCACAACTCCAACTGGAGGCCTAGAGCCCATGACAATGCCTCATGCACGGCTGGTGCATGGATCTGGGTTGGAAAGGCCCAAAGGTCAGTGGTGGAAGCTAGAACGTCTACGGGAGTGGGATAGAGGACCTGTGCTAGCAGGCTCAGGGATCTGAACTGGGAGCTGGAAGCAATGCTTGGTAAGAAGCAGAGTTCCCCTGAAAAGTACCACAGCCATCCTCAGCAAAAGTGAGGTCCTGAGCTTTTCCAGTGATGAGGAAAGCTGAGTTTCCATCAGGAAAGCCAACGTGACAAGCTTCTCTAGGAGGATGAGCAGTGCACCATCTTACCCTCTGGAGCCAAGAAGTGATGCTCAAGATGAGGACCAGAGCTCCCTAGAAATGAATTGTAGCCATTCTCAGTGACAATGAGGTCCCAAGCTCCTCCTCTGACAAGAACAGCCCAGTTCATCAGGAAAGCCATCATGACAAGGTCCCCAGCAGAATAGCCCAAGAGAACCAAGAGAACCAACAGCTTCACCAGCTTCCCTAACAGCCTCTCAACAGCTTCTCTGATTCTGCCTTTTATGCTACTGGCAACAATCCTCAGGTGGGCCTCCCATACCCAGTACCACATTGGCTCAATTCAGCTGGTGTAACAAGCTGACCACCAGTTAACAATCCACTACGGGGGGTGGGGATTTGGCGCAGCAGCAGAATGTTTACCTAGTAAGATGGAAGCCCTGGGTTCGGTCCTTGGCCCCAAAAACCTTCCCTAACAATCCACTACATACTGTCTCCGAAGTAAGCCCCGTGTTACTGTCTACATGCTTTGCTTTTTTTCTCCCATAGTGAACGTTTTCTAGACATGTCTCTACCCATTCAAATCTTCTACTTACATAACCAGTTCTGTGCCAAACTTGCCGATAATGTTGGTAATGAACCTAATCATTGAATTTGATTCAGTTCTTGTCAAAATTTTTTTGGGACCAGAACTGTGGAAAGAATTTAAGTTCATGAACCAAGGCACCACTGTATTTTTTTTTTTTTTTTTTTTTTAATGTATTTGGTATAAGGTCTACAGGGTCTCACTACACAGACTGGACTGGTAGTGATTCTCCTATTTTCAGCCTCCCAAGCGCTGGGATTACAGGTGCACGCCACCATGCCCAATCTCAATCTTCAATCTCCATCTCAGCGTGCCCTGGGGCAGGGCTGGCATGGCACACCGGGGATCAAACCCTGGCCGCTGCACTCTATCTACATAAGCAGGGGCTTTAGTCCACTGAACTAACTGGCTGGCCCTCCACTGTATTCTTTAAGCCACCAATCCTCCCCACATCCATGAATCTACAGCCATGGTGTTTTTCACTTTCTCCAATTTCAGAGGACAGTGTCTCTTCTTTCCAAATCCAAATTGTAATGTTGAATGTAACTGCTACTGCCTCTTTCCAAACATCTACTGGTGCCTCTACTGTTATTCACCTCCCTCCCGGAGACTTCCTTCTTAGAGCCAAGAGGCACACTTAATTCCAACTACTTAGGAAAACAAAAAGTAGTCCTTCCTTTAAATCTGATCCTCTTGAAAGGAAGCTTACCCACCTCTCTTCAGTAAACACCTTGATGGGAAGCAGAACGGCATACCTCTTTATCTTCTATTTTTACTGTACTATCTAATGCATATAAAAGTTTACATGGACCCAGAAAAATTGCAAAAGACCCTGAAATGGGCAAAAATGATAAAAAAGAGTACTAGGTACCCTTTCTCCAGCGCATCCTTTGGCCCTTGTGAACTATTCTACAAGTTGCAAAACTGGTAAAAATACAAATTCATTCACTCTGTTCAACTGAGCTGCATTGCATTCAACTCTTGCCTTTTTAAAATACTGTTTCCCTGAACTGCCCAGGCTGACCTCCAATATGTGACTCTTAGGCCTTAGCTTCCTGACTAGCTGGAAGTACTGTACAGGTTTGTGCTGCTATGCCTAACCTGGGACTGACAGGAGCACAAATTCTTGACTATATGTATGCCAACTAGTTATATCCAGTGGGATTAACCGACTGTCATGTGGATGCTGACTAATTTAACAACTAATTGTGAACTTATTTCAGCACTGCTAATTACTTATATGTGTGTTACCTTTAAATTACCCCTTGAAGTAAATGGTTGTATCTTCCCAATTCCTTTATAAATTTAATGATTTAATAAAACCCTTGGATATACACTGATTTTACAAGGGTGAGAACTATTCATCTTTAAGAAATTATTCTTCTACCCATGTAACATGTTATCAATATCTGTGAAAAAACCAGTCAATTTAAGAACTTCAGCCTCCCTAAGGAAACCTAAGAAAGTCCAAGGAAGGGCATCAGGGATGTTTATATATGTATATCAATAATATTAATAAAAGATTATGTTAAAAGTTAAAAGTAACAGAGCAGGCTAATGGGATGCTTCACAAAAGTTCTTTGAAGGAAATGACACTGCCTGATGATGAGATCTGAGTTTTCCAGAGCACAATGTAGATTTCAATTGGGCACTTAATGTCCCTATTTTTGCCATCCCTCCACTATCATTAAATCCAGATGACAATATTAACTATTTATAACTATGCTATTCAAAATGATAGTCACTGTCAAATGTGATTATTTCTAACGTGTTTGTTCTAAATTTGTGTTTAAATAAGGTGAGATTAAAAGAACTGTAATATCACTAATCCCACTGTATTGTTTGTTCCTTCCAAAGTAACAATTATTCTCTCTCTCTCTCTTTTTTTTTTTTTTTTTTTTTTTTTTTTGCGGAACAGGTGATTGAACTCAGACCCTTGTGCTTGCAAGGCAAGCGCTTATTCTACTGAGCCATCTCCCCAGCCCCAACAATTATTCTCAATTTTGAGATTTTCTTTTCTCCAAAGATATTTCTCTGTATAATATATTACTTTTCTTTTGCTTATTTTTAAGCTTTAAAAATCATTATTTAATATGTGTGACTAAATGGAGTAATATCTATAAAGTTAGAATATATCTAGTATATTCTAAGTGTTTTAAAGCATTTATTAAATATATTTTTTGGGCTGGGCAGATAGCTCAGCACCTAAAGCACCTGCTTAGGCAGAGCGCAAACTGGGTTCGATCCCCTGCATGCTGTGCTGGCTCTGCCTGTGGGGTGCACTAAGACCGCGATTGAGACTGGGCATGTAATCCCAGCACTTGGGAAGTTGAAAACAGGAGAATCACTAGAAGTCCTATCTACGTAGTGAGACCCTGTAGACTCCCGTAGGTCCTGTCTTAATTACAGGAAAAAAAAAATAATAAAGTGCTTATTTCTTTAAAAAAAATACATTTTTTTCTTTTTGCGGTATTAGGGATTGAACTTGGGACCCTGGGCTTGCCAGGCAGGAGCTTATGCTGCAGAGGTATATTCCAAGCCCTTATATTAAATATATTTTTATTTTTAGGTAACATTCCATTTTAGTGGGCATAGCACAGGTTCTCACTACACAGTTTAGACTCACAGTGATCCTCCTGTTTTAAAAAAATATTTTATTTATTTGGTACAGGGTCTCACTATGTAGCTCAGACTTGTACCTGTCTTAAACTCCCCAGTGCTGGGATTACAGGTGTGCACCACCATGCCTAGCATGATGGCCAGGCATAGGGTGGCTGGCTCAGGACGGGGCTGGCATGTCATACGGTACCAGAATGGAACCTGGGTCTTTGTACTTTTTAGGCAGGTGCTTAGGCCACCAAGATAAATACATTTTTAAAATAAGGTTTTTTGCAAAGTACTTAACAGAATAACAACAAAAATAAAGTGGTACCCATTTAGCACTACTGGTAATTAATTGAGTAAATCAGTGGTTAAAAAAAAATACAGCATTCTATAATTGCTCTGGTTCACTATTTTGTTTCCATTTTTTTCTCTGCTGTTAAATACAGTGGTAATTCCCTAAACAGAGAATAATGTTAAGACCATATCACAATTTACTCATTTTATTTGACAAACATTTTTGAGTTACTGCCTTACTCCATCTTACTGTAGACATTCTTGTATATCTCTCCTAGTATACACATGCAGACTCTCTATAGGATACAGAAACTAGGACCAAACTGCTAAGGTGCTAAGGCAAATGAGTATTCAACACTACAGGAGAATGATAACACTGCTTTTTAATGATTTATCAATTCACACTCCACTGACACTGTATGTCTCTAATGATCTACATTTGTTCTTATATTTGGTATTAATTTTTGTCAAGCTTATAATATCTGTCTTAATTTTCATTCCCTTTATTAGTAATGAAATTTGTCCATCTTTTATAACTTACTGATTTCTACTTTTTTTGATATACTGCGGACTAAACCGTTTGTTAAATTGTATCTGGTCACTCTTCAACCTACTACCATAAGTATGACCTCTGTATCTAACACATTGCTGAAACTGTTTTTTGTGTTTTAAATCTGGGTGTCTTTAGGAAAAAGCCCATTAATCACTTTATTATAGCAAGTGGGTCAATAGCTGAAATGCTTCTAACTCAGTACTCTACCTGTGAGATAGATACAGGGCAAAAACATAAGCAGAGACAGTAAACTCTGGCATCATAAGGGAAGAGTTCTGGGCAAAAGTCACATGGGTGGAATGTTATGTGGTAGATGTTATGGGGATCCAATTTCCAATGCCAGTTCACCAGAGATGTTTTAGAAGCACACATCAGTACAAAATTAGGGACACTGTTCCATTTTATTTCCAATTTAGCTGTATGCAAAACCTGGTAATGTTAGTTGGTACTGATTATGTCTTAGCTTTGGGGGTTAAAGTTTCACTGTGCAAGCCAGGAGGGCCTCAAACTTAATGGTGATCACTCTGCCTCAGCTTCCCAAGTGCTAGGATTACTGGGCTGTACCACTGTACTCAACTATGAGATTCCTTTGGGAATTCCTCAGTCACCAGAAAGAAAGTTGTCCCCCAAATACAGTGGCATTTCTGGTGTGCCAAACACTACTGGGGTGGAATGGAAAGTAGCACTCTGGGCTCGGGGCCTCCCAGCAGGGTGACCCACCACTCTGGAACACAAGGGTGCTGGGACATGATGAGGTGGCCACTCACCAAAATGCAAAGACCATAGGTGGTCCTGTGGCCCCTCTGCACCACAGGACATCCTGGACCTGGAACAACTGTGGCTATGGCATAGAGCACCCAGGACTACTCTCCAGGCCAACAGCAACACCCAGCACACCTGCAACTGAAACTTACTTTCCAGAAGACATTATTGAGTCCTAGCCCAGGTCCAGTGAGTGTGTGGCGAGTTTCCTGCTACCCTGCGCCGGCAGGACCAGTCCCAACCCAGGTGCAGCGTGGGCCGGACCCTCTCCCAACCCCCTCACCATTCCGTAGTACCTCCCCCAACCCACCCGCCGAGTAGGAATTTCTGCCGCATTCCAGGAACCCCCAGACCCAGTCGTAGCCCAGGTCCTGTGAGTGTGGAGCTTCCTCTTCCCCCTACTTCACCTTGCCCCCTCCAGGCACAGCTCAGGCCTGGCATACACGCCTGGGGTGTAACCCTGCAGCTGCAATCCCTGCAGAGAGCGTAGAGGATAGATCCACCCAGATAATCCAAGAGAAGAACATCTTGCCACAGGGGCCCAACAGGTTCAACCTCAAGGGCAGCAGCAGGAAGGAG